GCCAAGAGAGGACACTACGATTACCTCCTGGTGTCATCCTTTAGCGCCAGCGCCAAAAATGAATGTCATATTCGTGATCAGGATGTTGAATTACCCCTATATACAAGTTTTTAGCGGATTTGGTGATCTTGCCACTTTTAAAATGAGCTCGAAGACGAAATTTCTGGAGTCCAAACGGCATTAGCCAAAGGGATTGGCTTATAGTGATGGTCACAAAATCACGGACTTCGCAGCCACTGTAACAAGCTTATCTAACTGAGAAAAGGACGGGGTTCCCTTGGCATATCCCAGGTATCCCAGAGCTAGAATCGATAGCTTGAATGGTTGTGCGGTTTGATGTAAGGCGAAAGGAGCAGTTCAGAGAATCTAAGTCGCGGTAGCGAGCGAAAAGAACTGAGTATATCCTGGATAGCTGACGTGAACTACTGAAGCATAGCCATGTTGAATCCATTAGGTCCTATTCCGCATATGACGTCAATTGTGATTCCTACTTTGTCATCTTTGCCACCACTCAGATCTCAATTAGGCTGCGTTCATACCGTGCGACGTCGTCGTCAACGTCGACGTAACCGACGAAAGCGACGTAACCTGCGTTTTCTGCGACTAGTTCGTGAAGATTATATACGTATCGATCCGACGAAAGCTGCGTAAGTTGCGTAACCGTCGAATCGATACGTATCTAATCTTCGCGAAGTAGTCGTCGGTTACGCAGCTTACGCAACTTACGCAGCTTTCGTCGGTTTCATCGAATCGATAGGTATCTAATCTTCGTGAAGAGTCGTCGGTTACATAACTTACGCAACTTACGCAGTTTTCGTCGGATCGATACGTATATAATCTTCACGAACTAGTCGCTGAAAACGCAGGTAACGTCGACGTTGACGGACACGTCGCACGGTATGAACCAGCCTTACACCTGTAAGCGAAGGACAGTGGGTAGTTACGGTGGCGGTGACACCGCGTCCATACTTTGCGTCAGCGTACGCCCAAACCCATGCAGCCGTTTCGATAGTACGCCAGCGAAGGAAGGTGTAGGTAGAAATTAGCTGGCGTTTGCCTGCTAATTTCGGCCCCTGGCAGCGTTTCGAAGCAGTGGTGTCTTGTGGCCATTTGAACCTGGCATGCGATGGAAGACTTTGAGTCTAAATTTTTCAACCTTTTGAATTTCAAGGACGAGTTGGTAATTTTTGACTTTCCATTTTGATGAATTATATAGGTTTTCGGTGGAGAAGGTGATTTTATTACTGCTCCTGAATTAACACAGCTCTTTGGAGAACTTCTCGGCGTCTGGTGCTATTATGAACTGGCGAAATACAGGGCATACAGGTGAGGTTTTTCTTCTAAATTGGCTGTGGATTTGAGAGTTATCAACCAATATTAGGACCTTGGCAGCTTGTTGAATGTGGGCCAGGCACAGGACAACTCATGCACGATATCCTGGTGGCAATGGATAAGTTCCAGGTGGTTTGCTTTCTTTGTAGCATGCATGACTAATTCTTGGAATTTACTTATCTAGAGTGAGCCAGAAAACTCTCTGTGGCATTGTTTTTCGTGGACGTTTTTTGCTAACGTTCCCCGTTTTTTACATTGGTTCCAACTCATCTCTTCCAAATTACTTTTGTTCTGGTTAACCGTGGCAGCGCCAAGCTCATAAGATTGTCCCCTTCAGTGTATTGGTTGGCCCCCGAACCAGTTATTGCAAAACACGTCCCAAAAATTTATTGCAAGCGCTCCAGAGTCTGGAAAAAGCTGAACATTTTTGCAGAACTCCTTTCTTCGCATCGACAAGATTTGAACCTTTGTTGAAACGTCTGTAGAGAAATTTTAGCCTCCTCTCTAGAATCTTTATGGTTTTTTGCAATAAGTTTTTGGACCTCAAGATGTTTTACAACATTGGGTTCTAGTGAGGCTCGGGGATAGCACAATACTACGAAATCTGTCCCATTGTCTATCCTTCTATCATTTTATAGGAAGAGAATGTGTCCGTACATTTGGTGGAGACATCTGATGCCCTCATTCGGCAGCAAGAAGAGCTGCTTTGT